TTGTTTGAAGGAACTAGTGGTCTGCGCCTGAGTCCGCTTCACTAGCCTTGACAACATTTTTCTTCACAGAATTTACCATCAATCCTCTCTCTGGCTGTCATGTTTGATTCTTCTGTAGACCTCTGTCTCAACTGAGACATGAGCCCATAGGTCCAGTAGCAGTGAGGTCTGAGCTTACCCAGGGTTCACCAGCACGCCCTGCGAAATGTGTGAGAGGAAATACAGAACAACAGGGGGTCCAAAGCACCGTTGATATACCACAGTGGGAGGGACAAATATGATTTTAAGATTGTTTAAATGGAAAGGACCGTATCGGACCACACAACCACGTAAACCTGCATAAGTGATGAGGCAATATCAGGAAAGTTGCAAACAAAAAAGCCACCACAGCTGCACCTGAAAAGCAGAACAGAGAGTGTTGATAATTCAACATTCTGAAATGATTTTTAATAGTACACTAATGTAATTCATTTGCATATAAACTGGAGTAAATGCAGGACAGCAAGGCTATTTATGATTGTCTCATTGATTAGTTAAAGAAGAGCAGTGTCCTGTACTCTTCTGCCATTATTGAAGCCACTGCTTTATAGATTGACCTGGTATGTGTCCTTCAAAGCAGTAATAGGATTTTAAACTTCTTCCTTTTTTTTTTTTTTTATCGCTCATCCATTAGTTTTAGAGCTCTCTTTTCATTTACAAGCAGTTTCCCATTCTGGTGACACTTGATTGTTCGCCTTCCTTCTGGATCCTGTGGCAGAAGACCCATGTTTGTCCTTTGATGGCTATTCTTCCTCAGGTAGTGCAGGATAAGCATATAAAGAGTAAAGATGGACACTAGTGGGACCTGTTGTTGGAGAGGCCTGTTAGGTCCCTTTGTTTTACGCTGACACAAAAAAATAACCTGTTAAATGGTACTCGTCTCACCAGAAAGAAGAACCCGGCTCTCAGAAGTAAGGCGCCTTTGTAGATATGCGCAGGATCTGGCTCTGTCATCTCACACATGGTAGAAACTTGGAAGGCATCTTCTTGAGTGGTAGCTGTGTAGTCCAGGATGCAAGCGCGTGCCTGGTCATAGACCAGTGCAAAGGGGACAGCAGAGACCAGAGAAATCATCCATACTGACACAAGGCACGGCACTCGAGACTTCTTTTAAAAAGACAAGAAAAGGGAAGGAAAATTAGTTTATTAACTCTTCCTTACATGATACAAAAATAGAGATGGCAACAATAAATGTATATGTAAAACGTATGTTTTACATATTATGTAATTATTACATTATAACAAAAAACTTTTCACGTTCTTACAATATAAATATTGTACGAACGTGATAATTATGTATATTGTAATAATGTGATATTATTGTACAAACATGAAAAGTATATTGTTAGAACAATAAACTTTTCACGTTATAACGTGATATAGCTCTATTTTTCTTTTGCCTGGGTGGCAGCTCTACACTTCCGCTGGCACTGATTGTTTGTTTCTAGTAAATTTTTTTTTATTAACTTTGAATTTGGACAGGAAATGCAGATACATAGGAAAAAAAATAATTTCCCTTAATGATTTTAGTTTAATGCTGTCAACAGAGTTTCTTAAGAGTGTTAACAGTGCCTACCTGATATAACGAGGCTGAGAAGGTAGGAACAAATGGCACTGACTCTCATCTGGGCATCCATGAGAAGGGTCAGCATGCTTACACCGTTAAATAAGACCTGCAGAGCATTTGGGGAGAACATTATGTGCTGTACAGTGTGAAACACTGCATAATATTTGCTCTTCATGACTAGTATAGTGGGTTAGTGATGCTGCTTTAGTTTTATTATAATTATCCCATTCAACATTGTGCATTGCAATTTAATAGCCTTGGGCTGCATGATGATGTATCCAGTAAATGTAACACTCATACTCCAAACAAGAAGATGACGCTGTAGAAGATGGTCATGGGGACAGCAATTCTCAGCGGCTCACTTTTGGTGACATTAATGTCGAGTTGTGGTGTCGCACTTGGGCTGACGTTACAGCTGAAGAGAAATGAAATCTCCCCTGAGAAGTTCATAGTGAAGCAGCAGGAACGTACTAGAGAGATTTTATAGAGAAATGATTCATAAATTCCACGACCAAGCTGGGGTAAGTGTACCAAAAAGAAAATGTCTTTCCATAATGTCTGATTTTTTCATTTTTATTTTTTTATTGCCAGAAATTTAAATAAATAAAGATATACATGCATGCATACATAAATGCGCAATCATTCAATCATTTGAACAGTCATTAGAAAGGGTTATTTGTATTCAGGTTATGTCATTTTTTCAATAAGCCTTTTTTTTTAAATTCAAATCCTGGAATATTTATTATTTCCATAATGTCAAATAAACAAATAAAAAGCATTTTTGTACTTGTCTTTCTAAACATGTCCTTACCAATTTTGCTTAAAGAAAGGAAGGAATAAATCTGCAGCTGGGACACACAATTTTTTACATTTAATTATGTTTTAGAATTATTTTCAGTCAAATTGCTGATGATTGAGTTATTGCAGCAAACCATGTAATTATAGTTTTGTATAGTTTCTCCCTCATCACTCCCTGCAAAATGTTAGACATAAAATTGGGAAGTGATGCAAAAATAAATCCCCTGAAGCCACAGATAGATGATGGGGGTGGTGGAGTGGCTAAAACAGCAGGAGAAATCAGATTTTTCTTTTTTCTTCAGCTTAAATAACCAATTTGTGTGTTTGCTAAATAATAAGAAGAGAGGGAGAGATTGTGTGGATATAATTGGAGAAGCCAGCTTAATAGCTTCCTTTCAATTGTAAAATAATATTTTTTCCTTTTAAAAAATTCATATTGAAATCTACTGTCACCTACAAAATCTTTGTAAAACACACTGGAGATAAAAAAAAAAAGAAGCTTAACATTAGGAGATTGTAAGGCATTCAGAAATGGATAAATTGAATCAGTAATGCTGATAAAACACTTTAACTAAGTACTTGCAGAGAAAATATGCTGTAAAGGTCAATATTCTAAAAATATACCAATTAGAAAGATTTAAAGTATACTGTAATTATGTCAAACAAGCTGACATACATGCTCTTTACAACCCATAATATGACCAGTAAGCTAATATATAATTTAAAACCAAACTAATGACTATTTTAGGGCTATAATATGCAACTGAAAGTCTCTATTTAAAGGTAAAGGCTATTTGATGAGTAGTATATAGACTCACCTGCTAAGGAAAAGATGCAGGATGAAGACTGGCAGCAGGCTTCACTGGCAAAAAAAACAAGTCTTTGGTATTCCTTCCCTCAGTGAGTCTTATTCTTTCTCTCTGCCTCTTGCTCACTTACCCTCTTTCTCGCTTCCTTCATCTCCCTCTCTTATGACACACACACACACACACACACCCAAACTCCCAGATGGTCACAAGACTGACTAGTAGAAATTTAGCAGTGGCTAAAAACAGCTGCTTCATGTAAAAATAGTGTGTGTAGAATATAGCCACAAAACAATCAGTGTACAAAAAGTATGTTTTTAATTCAATATGGAAAATGGTGCTCCAGTGGCGCAATCGGTTAGCGTGTGGTACTTATATGACAGTACATTGTAGAGCAATGCCGAGGTTGTGAGTTCAAGCCTCACCTTGAGCAGTCTTTCCACAATTTTTTCAAGTGCTATCCTATTCTACATGCTGAAAAAAACCCATTAATTAGAATAAAGTGCAACAAAACAAAAAAATAACTAAAGGCAGATAAATGGATCAATAAATATACATCAAGAATAGTTCTTCATACTTTAGAGACACATGTATTCCAATTCCCCTGCTTTGTTGTCTCTTTTCATTCTCTTTGCTCTTCTCCTCAATATATTGTCTCATATCACTTAATTACAACAGTAGGTAATATCTGCTTTTGGATGCAATCTTACACTGTAATAAAAAAAATGGAAAATATTATCTGGTTGTCACCAACATCACTCTTCATGCACTCAGCATGTGGAAATAGCACTATTATTATGTTAATAAGCAAAACATAACGGAATGACAGCTGATGTTAGCATGAAATTAAAGGAATTTCAAAGTAAAAATCTAAAAAATTGTAGAAGGGAGTTTGCAACAAACACAGGATAGAGCAATGGTGGCCAATTAATTCCCCAAGCGGGCATATGAGAAACTGGGTCTGCCTCCTTTCACAACAGCCCTCCTCATCAGAGCCTGTTTCTTATTTGGTCCCTTGGGAAAATCAGTTTCCCACCCCTGTATAGAGAGTTACCCAACATATGCTACAACAACTGCAAAAGAAGCCCAGACGAGTTTTTATATGACCCTCAACCTCCTGTAATCACACCTTACACTAGACATTACACTTTTGTGTTGTATCTTTCATTTTTTGTGTGTGTTTTTTTCCCAACAGCTATCCTAATTTAAAAAAAAAAAAACAATCTCACAACACAATTAGTACATTTTATGGAACCTGAAACCTGAAATTGTTGCAGCTAAATCATATATAAAACAAGTGCAAAGTTATAAATGCACGCTGCTTTCTAGTGTTATCCCAGCATCATGGCGTAGAAATGACCTTCTTTTTCAAGCATGTTGTTTGGCGAATCAAATTCCACTATTTTTCCAGCATCAAGCACCATTACCCTGTTGGGAAAAAGCATAGACTTTAATAGTAATCCAATGAGCAATGTCCATACTGTCTAGCATGAGAGAATGCTTTGGTGTTCCCCAGCCACCTCCTCCAACTTATCTGGGGAACACCAAAGCATGCCCAGGCCAGCTGAGAGACATGATCTCTCCAGCATGTGCTGGATCTACTTTGGGGCCTCTTTCACATTCACACACTGGTGGAGGTAAGCTGCAGTTGTAGCCACAGCTGCCCTGGGGCAGACTGTAGGGTAGGTTAAAGTGTCTTGCCCAAGGACACAACGACCAGGACAGAGAGAGAGCAGGAGGATCGAACCGGCAACCTTCCGGTTACAGGTGAGCTTCCCAATCCCTTGAGCCACGATCGTCCCCCAGTACCCTGGCATAGACCTTCCTGGTGAGGCTGAGGACTGTGACCTTCCTTTAGCTGGAGTACACATACTGGTCACCCTTCCTAAAGTTGGGAAACACCACCCGATTCTCCCAGTCTAGAGGCACTGCCCCAGAGCTCCACATAACCTTGGAGAGGTGTGTAAACCAAGTCAGCGCTACAACATCTGGGGCCTTAAAGAACTCATTCCGTCTATCGATCCTGCCACCAAGGAATTGTTTAACTACCTCAGTGACCTCATCCCTAGTGATGAACAAGTCATCCCCCTCATCTTCAGACTGAATGTAAGGGGGATTACAGAGGTTGACAAAGTATTCTTTCTACTATCCGAATTTATCCTCAGTTGAAGTCAGCAGCATCACACTCACACTATACACCGTATGAGTAGGGCATTACCCTCCTGAATTCTCTGAGGGTTTTTGAATTTTTGCTTCAGCTAGCTATGTTTCGCTTGACCTGCCAGCATCTATCAGTTAGCTCAGAAGTCCCACAAGCTAACCAGGCCCAATAGGATTCCTTCTTAAGCTTGACAACTCCCTTCACCTCTGGTCTCTACCATCTGCTTTGGAGATTACCACCACAACATGCACCAACCCCCCTGAAACCACAGCTCCATGCAAGAGCCTCAAAAATGCAGGTGCAGAACATGGTTCATTCAGGCTCATTGTCTTCAGCCTCCCTCGCAGTGCTGTCAAAGCTCTGCCAGGAGTAGAAAGCTTGCAGACCGGGGCCTCCAACGTCAGGATTGTCCAGCATCATGCTCCTTTACTTGATCCAGGTAGTGATATGCTGACAGCTCAGCTCTTCTCTTCACCCAGGTGTTCAGAATATAGCTGCAGATCTGATGATATGCTTAAGAAATTGATCACCAACTTGGGACCTAGGGTTTCCTGGTTCCATGTGCATTTATGGACATACTTTGTTCAAATCTGGTGTTCGTTATGGACAACGTGTGATTTGCACAGAAGTCTAATAACAGAACATCACTTGGCGCCCGATCAGCCTACATGAGCATTAAAGCGTCTTAGTAGCATGATGTAGTCACCAGATGGGAAAGGTGCTGGGTACTCTGAACTATCATTTGTTGCACAAGCACAAACAACAGCCAGAACGTTTCCTGTTAGCTCTCATAGAGGATCTCTGAATCACTCTTCATCTGGCCCCTCTTAGGCAAAATATACAAGTTCTGGGTAAGGTAATGTCCAAGTCAAGAAAAAGGAGTCAGTGAACCTTAAGTTTAGATTATTTTGTCAAATACCACTCTGGCATATTATGTATGTTTGATCAGATCATTTATACAGTCATTGGTACTACATAACGGGTTTATTTAGTGCACAATATTTCTCATTTTCTGTTGATGGAAATAGATTCAGTCAAAGGAATTACAATGTGTAAAAAGCCAAATTACTTGTGGTTGATTCCTTGTCATGCACATAAATTATGTGCACGAGAAGGAAGGGTTGGAAAAGAAAGAAATTTGACCCTGACAGAGATAAAATAAGGTAGGGCACATCATCCAAAAATGTTAAGGGAAAAGGTACAACTCACCTAGAGCTGTCCATGATACTCTGCAGGCGGTGGGCGATAGTAAGGACTGTGCAGTCTGAGAACTCTTTGCGGATGGTGTTCTGAATCAGGTTGTCTGTCTCCAGGTCAACAGCTGCCGTGGCTTCATCCAGAATTAGGATACGTGACTTTCTCAGGAGAGCTCGAGCCAGACACAGCAGCTGCCTCTGCCCAACACTGTATTGTATTAAAGAATTGATATCTTAAGAGGTTTTTTTGCAAAAGAAAAAAGTAAAGCACAAATGACACTCATGTGTTCAAATAAAATTAAAGTTTATGTAAGTTTTGCAGAACATTACATAAGGTTTAGAATAACAAACTGTACAAAACTTATACTTATATATAACTTATACCCAGAGGCCGTATTGTTAATTTTATTACCCACCTGAGGTTTTCTCCTCCCTCTGCCACTTCATGCTGTAACCCTTCCTGCAGCCCTGATACATAGCTCTTTAGATGAGAGAGCTCCAGCAATCTCCAAATCTCCTCATCACTGAACTTGTCAAATGGATCCAGATTCATCCTCAATGACCCCGAGAACAAAACGGGATCCTGTGCACATGGGATTACAAATATCAGTGTACTTTTATAAATATCAAATTCTTTGACAAGATTATTGTTTATATTTATGTTTATACCTGTGGTATAATTGTGAGTCTGTTTCTCAGGTCATGCAGGCCTATTGTAGCGATATCTACATCATCAATGAGGATGCGACCTTCAGCAGCTTCAATAATTCTAAACAGGCAGTTGGTAAGACTTGATTTCCCAGCTCCTGTGCGACCGACAATACCAATCTGAATGCAGTGAGAGAAAACACATAAGATCAAAATAACAGCTGGTGCATATTTGAAAAAAAACAAACAATCTACACATTTTTCTTTCTGGATATAAATTGTATTTAACAGTATAGCAATAAATAATGCAATAATAAGCAAATATACTCAGTCTGTACTTAGTTTGTAAAAGATCTTAGACATTTCAGTAATGTTATGTGTTACAGAAAGAAGCAACATTTTTCAGAGGCAGCAGATATTTTATACGGGCCATTCAATCCTTATACAACCGTTGCAAGAGTTTGGTCCACATAGCCGGCAATTTCAGGCTCGTTCTTGTTTGGTGATGGGCTCTGCCAGGGCTGCTCTTCTGTTCATAATTTTTATGGATAGAATTTCTAGGCGAAACCAAGTCACGGAAGGCTTTCACTTAGGTGGTCGCAGAATCTCATCTCTGCTTTTTGCAGATGATGCAGTTCTGTTGGCTTCATTGGGTAATGGCCTCCAGCTCGCACTGGAACGGTTTGCAGCCGAGTGTGAAGCGGTGGGAATGAAAATCAGCACCTCCAAAAATCAGCACCTCCAAATCTGAGGCCATGGTCCTCAGCAGGAAAGCAAAGACCCAGGAAACCATGGAGGTGCTATATCTCTTGGCTGGCCTGGAAACGCCTTGGTGTTCCCCTGGATAAGCTAGAGGAGGTGACTAGGTAGAGGGAGGTCTGGGCTTCTCTGCTTAGGCTGCTGCCCCCGCGAATCGGTCCTGGATAAGCGCAAGAAGATGGATGGATGGATGTATTGATAGCAATGCTGAATATTCCGGCCTAGACAAAAAAGAGTTTGGGAACAACTGCCCATAGACTAGTTACATGTTTACATATCACAGCTGATTATAATATACAGTAATACACATAATGTATAAATTAAAAGAAAAACTGATAGTTCACATAATTTTTTACAATTTAATTATATGTAATTACTGTCAACACAGATTGATCTGTGGCATCTTTCTTAAGTAACTGATTAATAGATTTGTCTATAAGACATTAAAAAAAACCCCAAACAATAGAATGTCAATGTCTTACAGCACAAAGTCCAAATTACAAATTTCAACATAAATAGCTTTTCTAAACTCAAATACAAAATAATGTGCAGGTCTGTATCTGGAAGCTACATTTTAGATACAGTTGGCCAATCTCCGCCAGCAGAAAGCTTGCACACGTTGTTAATAGTTAACCTTTTAAAAAAATTAGTGGTACAATTTTATATATTATGGATTTTTCAGTGAGGGAGAAAAAACTTCCCAATGATTTAATGTCCATCCACAAGCAACATCATTTTTTTCTTTTTCTTTTTTAGCAGTACATGCTTTTGTATCATTGGTGAACATGATATCAGATACAGTAAAACCTATAACTTTTACAGGAACTTTATACATATATGGAGACTCTCCCTCTCACGCTCACACACACAAACATGTACCTTCTCAGTGCTGTCGATGTCACAAGTGATTCCATGCAGCACTAAATCCAATTCAGGTCTGTAACGGACTTTGTAGTTCTCAAATTGCACTCTTCCTGCCTCTGGCCACATCTGTGGAGGTCGAGTGTCAGTTACCCAATCACCCTGTACCAACAGAAAAAGAAGCAGAACGCATGTGTAATATAATACAAAAGCTATCAAATTGAGCAAAGATAGCTCTTTTATATGTTGTGCATTAATATTCAAACCAAGATAAATAAGAAACAAAATTATACAGACACCATACATACAGACATACATGCATACACCACTAAAATAAAGAAGAAAAAAAAACTTTAAAAAGACCTCACACTTGGTAAAAAATGAAATAGCTCAAATGAAATTATGCAACCAAGATTAACAATCAAGGCCAAGTGTACATGTGCAATGTTATATTCTAACTCAGATTAAATTCAGTATGAACAGCTCACGATGGGACGTGCTAATCAGTGCAGCTCTGGTGCCATTATGAATAAACAACCCAACTCAAATATAACAGATGGAGTTCAAACATGTGAACTCAAATATTAGTGAAACATAAAATTAAACTGTTGCATCAAAATCTCGTTTGTTTAACAATTATCTAAATCGTTATCAGTAATATGTTAAGAAACAGTGGAGAAACAGCAGCTGGGAATAAAAGTATTATCACTGTACAGTGAGCAAATATTGCAGTTGATGTCGCACCCAAGCTTATTAGATTCCTGTTGAACTGTCAGAGTTACTGTCATGGTCCCCGCACCTCGCCAGCTGACAGCAGTCAGGCGCTATGTTTTGTTTATTCTCCTCTCTTGCCTCTGCTCTCTTTCTCTCTCGTCCTCTCCCTCTCTCTTTCTCCTGCCGGGGCGGAGCTCAGTATGGGCTCCCGCCCCTGGCCCACGCACCTGGGGATGATCAGCACACCTGCAGCTGATTACGAGAATTAGTCCTACTTAAGATGGAGAGTCTGCTCTACTCATCGTTGGATCGTTGAGCCATCAGCGTCAGTCGTCCTGCACTCTGCAAAGTTTTGTTTGTGAGTATGTCTGAACCTGGAGACTAACTGTTTCTCTGTCTGTGTATAGATTCCCCCCGGACCCGTTTCCCTGTGCACTGTGACTGAGCGTGAGCAAGAGTGGTAGAGGAAAGAAGAGGAGCTGTGTGTGTTTGCGAGAGCTGTATGGGAATCTCCCCTCCCTGGACTCCTGCCCCTTTCACTCCCGGACCCTGGAACCCCGGCCCCTTTTCCCCAGACACCGTTGTGTGTGTGTATATATATTTCACTGTGGAGAACACTGTAAATAAATTCACTTTTGATTTGAAGGAACTTGTGGTCTGCGCCTGAGTCCGCTCCGCTAACCGCGACAGTTACAATAAACTCACAGCCTGTAGAAATCCTAAAATTCATGTCCTATTTAAGAAAACAGTAGATTTTAATTTAACCAAAGTATAAATAATGTCGTATGGCAGCATGGTAGTTAACACTGTTGCCTCACTGCAAGAAAGTCCTGAGTAAGACTCAAGCATCTGGCTGGGACCTTTCTTTGTGGAGTTTGCATGCTCTCCCCATATCTGTGTGGGTTCTCTCGAGGTACTCTAGCTTTCTCCTACAATCCAAAGATATGCAGTTAGTGGGGTATGGTCAATTGGAGATTCTAAATTTCCCACAGGTATGAATATCAGTATGAATGGATGTCTGTCTTTTGTGTTATCCCTGTTTCAGATTGGCGACACATCCAGGGTGTATCACCCTCACGCTAGGGTAGCTGGGATAGGCTCCAGCATCCCCGTGACCCAGATAAGGATAGACTGAAGAGAATGGATGGATGGATAAATGTTTTGCTCACAAAGTATTTCTACATGCCTCGTTCTTAAGCTGAGTGTATTCGTTCACTCTCTCCACAGCTACAATATTGGTCTCCAGCGCTGAGGTCGTCATCACCAGCCAGTTGAGGGTCTGGGTTACCTGCAGAACCCCAACAGGAGAACCCCAACTGTGTTTACATTATTTCTGCATTTTAGTAATATCACACATATAAACACTGATGAAATAAGGATAAATTCTGAGTGTTTTTGTGACATACATTAAGGGCATATGATACAGATAGGCCAACCACATTACTGTCAATAGAATCTCTGGAAATGACAGCAAACAGAGCAGCAAAAAACACCACCAGGTTTCCAACAAACTCCAGACGTATGGCCAGCCATCTGTCAAGAAAACAAACCCCACAAAAATGCACACAGACAAATTTTAGGGTCAATTAGCATCACATGCTTATCTGTGTTTGGAACACTGTTCAATGTCTGACCTGTTAGACACGATCCGCAGGTAGATACTTTTGAGGTTCTCATCTATAGTTACTTCATTGTGTTTAAGAAACCTTTCTTGATGCCTGTAGGCTCTTATCACTGACAGGCCAGACACCGTCTCACCAAAGTGAGAGTATATCGGTGAGCGAGACACCGAGTCCAGCCGGCGCAGCTGTCTTGAAGCGGCAATATAAAAGCGCTGGGTGTAGAGAGAAAGACAAAACAAAATCAGTTTGCATTTCATACTATAGGAAAGTTAGGGTAGCTTTTTTACATATCTTCTTTACCTTGTTTAGCTTACCTGTACAAAGAAATAGATTAGAGCCAGAGGAATGATAACTATGGCAAAGAAAGGAGTTGCCATGCAGATGACAAATATTGTCCCCAGTACAGACATCAGACACAGAAGGCAGGAGCGCAATTTATTAGGAATGGTCTCATCTATGGTAAAAATGTCCTTTAGGATAATATTTGGAGAGTTAGTACTTAAGTAAAACGTCAATTTTATTTATAGTGCACATGTAAAAACAGAAAAAGTACATAATTAGCAAAATTATAAGTGTAAATAATACTAGAAGAATGAAGTCAATTATTATAAAAGCTAAAGTCAAGATATTGGAGAAAATGTCAATGATAAGTCATGGATGTTTATCAGTGACTAAACACTTTTAAAGTTTTGAGTTGTTCCTGAGATTAGAGCTGTTCCAAAGAATACAGTCTTACTGCCATGGTCCTGGGTCATGTGACCCAGCGTTTTGTGTTTATTATTATGATTATTATTATTATCATTATTATGTATTCTGCTTGTGGTTCTGTTTGTGGTTTCGGGTTCTGTTCTTCCTCTGTTTAGTGTTTAGTCATCCCTGCCCGAGTGTTCCCTCTGTTCCTCGTCTGTACCTTGTCTCTGAGACCAGTCTGTGTATTTCCTGTTTTACTTTGAAATGCCGTGTCTGATGTCAGTGTGTTCAGTTTTGCACCCTCCCTGTTTTGTCATGTTAACAAGGTTCAGTTGTGTCTCCCTCCTGTGTAGTTTCTCTGTTTCTCTCTGTGTATTTATAGTGTGTGTCCTCTCGTGCTCGCCGCTGGTCTGTCTGTGTTGTCTCCCTGAGTCACTCTGTGTTACTTCCGTGCGTTTCCCCCTGCATGTCCTTCTGTGGATTAAGGTTTCAGGTTGGTTTTACTACCTTCCCCAGTTTAGGTTTCCTTTAGGTTCTGCACATCTCTGTGTAAAAGCTCGAAGAGTTGAGCGCGCACGGGCAGAAATGTTGAGAGCGCAAGCAACGCATTGCGAGCGAGCGCAAATGCAAAAACTGAGCGAGAGGGGCTGCTATTGCGTGTGTGTGTGTGTGTACGGATAATACTGAAATACATTTTTTTTGTGCGCAGCAATGAATTTTGTTCACTCAAATTTAGCTTTTCTTCGCTCAAAATAAATTTCTCCTCAAAATGCAACACTTGCACCTGCATTTATTTATTTTTTTACGTGCGCTCAGAAAAGTGGCACAAAATAACGCCATACCGCTAGCTGTGACACTTACAGCCATTCTAACGACTTAATCATTTAATGATTAATTATTTGTCCATTAAGACCCTTTTGTTGGTTGAGAAATTAGCTCCTTCTTCCCTTTTTCAACAAGTGGCTGAATTTAGTAGCCGCAGCTAACAGAGACAAGAGATCTACACACATATTACAACATTAACGCAAATAGGTTGATTTGGGACTGTGCAAATAAAACTGAAATGAACTGAACAGCATATTGATTTATTGAATATATTCATATTAAATTCATATTGACTCATAGGGAGTCATCTAATTGTTTGAGGGATTTTTCTTGATTGTTGTAAGAGCTTTACCTTCACAATACAATGTACCTTAAGGAGAGAACAATTTTAAGAATATTTAGGATTGTATTAAAAATGTGAGATAAAGTGGGAAAAATTAAATAATACAAGTGGATATACAACTTGCAGCAAACACAAATGAAGCCTTTTTAAAAAATTAAATGTTTACTTTTTTCAATTTTTAGCACCGTTATTTTAGAAATGACATTAAAAACTAGTTCTAGTTTGTATTTAAACATACAAGCCACAAGAAGGTAACATAAATATTGAAAACTATGAAAAGAATCCTTAAAAAGTGAACCACAAGATCCTACTTTTGCAAAGCGGTTGATCACTCTTCCAATAGGTGAAGTGTAAAAGAAAACCATAGGAACTCGCAGGATGTTGTTAAGAAGTCGTGAATGCAGGATACGAGATGCATCAATGGAAGCATTGGCTAGGAGCAGTGTGCCAAGGAACACAAAGAGACCTGCAATAAAAACAAGAAAGTTTTTAAATAATAGAACTACATTTTTAACAAAGTCAAATCCACTTTGGACAGAACCTTGAACTTACAGTAACACTCAGGTGTGCTTCTTCCTGCCTACTGATATAAAATGGCTGTTATTATTACAAAATATTTATTTTCGAAAATGCTAATTGTCATTAGGAATCTTGTTAATTGGAGACCAGACCAGGTTTGGATGTTCAGAAATTCTTAATGACAAAGTTTAGCTTGCATGAAATTCAGGGTTGCTATCTCTGCTGCCACAGGGCAAGAGGGAAGGCACAAGCTGGACAAATCGACAGTCTGTTGCAGGGCTATAATGACAACACAAATAGTATTTCACTTTTATCAAATTCAATTCTTATAAAAAAAAAATAGTTCAATCAGTAATATATATACTGCATGTAAAGCTGAGCTCAAGATGAACCAAGGTCCAAATTGCCAGTCTTTTTACAATATAAAGCAGCTGGAATAAAACATATCACTTTGACAATGTAATTGGTCACCCATTCACAATATGAAAGAGCAACCAGCACTATTTCATTGTTATCTGTACCAGCATTGGCAATTCAATAATCATTTCAATAATTTCCTGGTGTATGTTGATATCAACTATTCTTCCATTAGATTTTTATTTATATTAAAATAAAATGTGCTGCATGTCAAACTTTTGGTGATTTTAATATCATATGAAAAGAAAAAACATACTTGAAAGGTGCAAATAAAATACTGTTAAAGAACTAATAAATAACAAATGTCTTCCCTCCCTTTGTACTCCTCTCAACTTTTATACTCATCTCCCTCTATATCAGCCCCATCATTCCCCCAGACCGAACAGCTCTGAAGCATCCACCTTATTTTTTGTTTTGTTTTGTTTTTCATTGATTTGTTTAGTTTTATTACACTTTTTTTTTATTACACTGAGCAGTTTAGCTTGAGAAGATTCAGTTCAGCTTAACAGAATTCTGTATATAAATAAATTCCTCATTATTGACATAAGTGCATAGGCACCTATAATTTCTTTGCAGCATGGGTCCCTGTGACAAAGGACCTAATGCACACAGTGCACAAGTCCTCTAGTACAATAAAAAGACTGGATGTTTAGGTTGTCTGAATAGCGCTCTAAAAATGAGTGGATCCTAAATAACAGAGTAGGGAATTTTCCTGTCTGTAAGACATAAAGTTCCTTGACGTTAATTTGCACAAACCTGAAAATATTTGCAAATACAAAAGGAATGACTGTTCAATTACCCTGAGCCACTCCAAGAGCTCCAAACACTCCCACCCTTGTGTCCCTCTTCCAGGAAGGGTATGTCATGTTGTAGTACTCCACAGAATCACTGGTCCAGTCACTCAACCACAGATTTTGACCAATCAAAGCAGCGTTCTGGATGAAGTAAATCAGGAAAACCATGGCAGAATATCCCCAGCCCATGGCTCGCAGGTACTGCAAGAACACTGCAAACTTCACCTGGAAATCAGCGCGAGACGGCACTCAGGAAACAGGCTATCATTTGTTGTAATCTTGCGCTAGTTATACAAAAACATTTTGTTACCTGTCCTGTTTCCATAGTTTCCGTCTCTATAAGCTTCTGGCCTTTCTGTGGTTCATCAGCAGATTTTTTTATGGAACTATTTCTTCTTAATCTGACACAAAAAAAAAATAGAGAAAAAAAATGAAATGGACATTCTGCTAAAGATGGTGTTTGAGACAAGCTGTTTCCCTGGTTTCATCTGCAACTTTAACAAGCTCGAACCTGCCATTGCGCTGACTGCGGCGGATGCTGTTTTCTTGCTCCAGTGTAAGAGAAACAGTGTCCTCCAAAGCACCGTCAGGTTGGGCATAGTCTCCATCTGGGATGAGCTCAAAGTCTTCTGCGTCCTGGCCCTCACCTAAAATAACAATATACATGGTGTTTTACATATGTGGCAGTAATTTATGGTATTTGGGTCAATATGTGAACAACATCAACACAAAGTATTCATAAAAGATGACAAAAAGAAATTTAATTCATTCATATTTGTGATGTATAATTTTAGCATAGGTTTTGGTTTTACAGCTAACAAAAACATATGATGTGTGCAGATTATATTTCTAATATACTAAGAAAAGGTTGTAATCACCTGTTTCTGAATTTCTCTGATTGTTCTGCTCAGTGGCATATGTGTCAAGAAACTTAGAAAAAGTTCCTCCACTGGCACGAAGGTTTTCATAGGATCCAACTTCAGAAATGACTCCATTCTCCAAAACCACTATTTCATCCACGTAAGGCAGGAAGCCTATGCCATGAGTCACCAGGATACGAGTCTGTATGGTCAGAGATATACGAGACTGAAGTTTGAATTCACCAATCAAATAGGGTTAGATAGGATTTAGAAAAACATTGTTAAGTATTAAAGGAAAAGAAAGGAAAAAAACAAATTATGTTTAAATATGTTTATAAATTGTATTTATCAAAAAGAGAATATGTTTCCGTTCACAGACTGAATTAACAATAATTGGTTTAATCATTTAAAAATCAGTTATAAAGCCAAACCTTTTCTAACTTGTAATTACATTTCCGAGTGGCTTTTATTCCTAACCTTTCATAATTAGCTATTCCGTTATCTTGGTCATTTAGTGTGATATTTAGCCTATTGTAACCTCTACGTAATGCTCGGGTCCTGGGTAAAATGAGGTAAAATACAATAAATTAGACACCATGTTTTCCAAGCAAGTAACAGCTGGACTATCCTGTGCAGAAAGTATTTGTCAAGATTCATCAGAAGAAATTAAATGGGAAATAGTCGAGTTTTTTTTCACTTTAAAGACTGATTTCTATTTAAAAAATTAATTTTAAAGTAAAATGTTTAGCATATGTTTTTAAGCACAAACCTTGTCTTTAAGTATTCCATTGGGTCCAATTACATTTTCAAATAGATGCTTTCCTACATGGGAGTCCACAGCAGACAAAGGGTCATCTAATAGATAAATATCAGCCTGACTGTAGACTGCTCTGGCTAAGCTCACACGCTGCTTTTGACCCCCTGAGAGATTGCTGCCCTGAAAAGAGAAGAAAGGAGGGGAAAAGAGACACACTCTTTTAGCCTTTCCTTTATAATCAGAAGAGCTCTTCTGTTTTGTTACTTTTTTTATGTATTTAAGAAACAAATATTTTACATGTGTTTACAATAAACGCCATACACCGCATTTGCATACAGGAAAAATACTTGTGTAACCAAAAACCTGAACCGTTCAAAGTGTAACTCACTTTCTCTCCAATCTCAGTGAGGTCTCCTCCAGGCAGCAGCTCAAGGTCAAGGGCAAGAGCACAGGCCTGTATGACTTTTTTGAAGATCTCTTCCTCATGTGGAGATCCAAACAAGATATTATCCTTCAAAGTAGCATTTTGGATCCAGGCTTGCTGCGGTACAAAAGCAAGAGAGCCCTGGAAAGAAACAAATTATGACTCAATTACAGATGTCTCACTACATCTATCTTATCATAAAAAAATGGCATCCACACGTTTTTATCCAGACCAAACACTACAGTTGCCAGGTGAAAAACAAATAATTTTACTGGAAATCTAAGAGAACAGTTTATTCTGTGGGTAAAATGGTTTGAGTTATAAGCAAATCATCTGCCTCCATTTCACAAAATTTGTGCAGAAATATACTTCTTTATTCAGCTGTTTTCTCCTTCAATACTGATGAGTTTAGACCAGATTATCAAAACTGGCTTGAATGAATTAGGCTGGTGATGTTTTTTTTAAATTTCTGCATCTTTACTTTGTTTCTTAAAGTCTTTAATGTTTAATTGGTGAATTATTTAAAAAAAAAAAATTAAAATATTGTATTGTGATTGTTAAATTCTACGCTTTTTGTCCTCCTTGAATGTAACTACTACTATGTAGATCACAAAACGTTTATGCTTTTCATGTAGACATATTGTTTTCAGTGGGACACTATGAGTCTGAATACACTATGAACTTTTTGGGATTTCCTTATCTGGATGATTGAGAATGCATAAAGGTACTGCTATATAGAGGAATTTTATACTTTTAGTCATTAAAGAAACTGAGTAAATGATTCAATCAACATTGAATTTCTCTGTATTTAAAAACCAAAAAAATAAGGAACATAATTTCCTCATGGAATAATAAAGTATTCTGATTCTGATAATCTCCTGAAAAAGTCTGCCTTCGTGAGAGATGAGCGAAGGCGCTGAAGTAAAAACTGAAGCAAACTTAATTTGATTAT